TTTTCCATGACTACATTCTATACATGTCAGTGACACTGATATGCAGTTTATTTCTGCCTGTCTATCTCTTTACTTAAAAATAACTACATTTGCTGTCTTCCACTTCTCAGAAAGTTGCCTTGTTTCGATAGATTTGTTGAAAGATTATTGTCAGGAGCACACACAGTGCCTCTGCGCCCTCAGGACCCAAGAATAGCTGTTATCTGGGCCCACTACCTTCGAGGAATCTAGTTCACATAGCAGTTTCTCCCACCTCCTCCTCCTCAGCTGTATACACTACCACCTAGGTTTGCTGGAAGCCTTTCTGTCTCTACTGAGAATGCCTTCTTGAATCTAGTGCTGAGGCTCTTCACATACTTTCTGGTCATTCCTTGTCAGCTCCCCTCCATCCTTCCCCAGCCTGATTACTATTGTTTTCCTCCTGATCTATCAGGTTGCATAACAACTTTGGTCACATTTGGATGTCGCTGCTATGCCATGCTCATATTTCCGCTATGCTTCTCTACTTATCTACGTATGTTCGTTTCTGGCTCTTCGGCCACACAGCTGCCATCAAATGTTGGGTTTAGTTATAGGAGCGATTTGTTAAACAATCCACCCAGTCTTTGCTGTAGAAGTAATAGTAGTAGTGATAGAAGTAGTGGAAGTAGTAGTAGCAGTAATAGTAATAGAAGTAGTAAAAGTAGTAGTAGTAGTAGTAGTAGCAGTAGTAGTTATAATAGATGTAGTAGTAGTAATATAAGTAAAAGTAGTATTAGTAGTAGTAATAGTAACATTAATAGTAGAAGAAAAAGAAGTAGTAGCAGTAGTAGTAGTAGTAGTAGAAGTAGTGGTAATAATGATAATATTAGTAGTAGTAGTAATAATAGAAGTAATAGTAGTATTAATAGTAGAAGCAGTAGCCGTTTACCTGGAGTTTACCTGGAGAGAGTTCGGGAGTAAACGCCCCCGCGGCCCGGTCTGTGACCAGGCCTCATGGTAGATCAGGGCCTGATCAACCAGGCTGTTACTGCTGGCTGCACGCAATCCAACGTACGAGCCACAGCCCGGCTGGTCAGGTACCAACTTTAGGTGCCTGTCCAGTGCCAGCTTGAAGACTTGCAGGGGTCTATTGGTAATCCCCCTTATGTATGCTGGGAGGCAGTTGAACGGTCTTGGACTCCTAGCACTTATTGTGTTGTCTCTTAGCGTGCTAGTGACACCCCTGCTTTTCATTGGGGGGATGTTGCATCGTCTGCCGAGTCTTTTGCTTTCGTAGAGAATTATTTTCGTGTGCAAGTTCGGTACTAGTCCCTCTAGGATTTTCCAGGTGTATATAATCATGCATCTCTCCCGCCTGCGTTCCAGGGAGTACAGGTTCAGGAACTTCAAGCGCTCCCAGTAATTGAGGTGTTTTATCTCCGTTATGCGCGCCGTGAAGGTTCTCTGTACATTTTCTAGGTCAGCAATTTCACCTGCCTTGAAAGGTGCTGTTAGTGTGCAGCAATATTCCAGCCTAGATAGAACAAGCGACCTGAAGAGTGTCATCATGGGCTTGGTATCCCTAGTTTTGAAGGCTCTCATTGTTCATCCTATCATTTTTCTAGCAGATGCGATTGATACAATGTTTTGGTTCTTGTAGATGAGATCCTCCGACATGATCACTCCCTGGCCTTTGACGTTAGTTTTTGGCTCTATTGTGTGGCCGGAATTTGTTTTATACTCTGATAAAGTTTTAATTTCCTCATGTTTACCATATCGGAGTAAATGAAATTTCTCAGCGTTGAACTTCATATTGTTTTCTGCAGCCCATTGAAAGATTTGGTTGATGTCCGCCTGGAGCCTTGCAGTGTCTGCAATGGAAGACACTGTCATGCAGATTCGGGTGTCATCTGCTAAGGAAGACACGGTGCTGTGGCTTACATCCTTGTCTGTGTCAGAAATGAGGATGAGGAACAAGATGGGAGCGAGTACTGTGCCTTGCGGAACAGAGCTTTCACCATAGCCGCCTCAAACTTGACTCTGTTGACTACTACTCTTTGTGTTCTATTTGTGAGGAAGTTATAGATCCATCTATCAACTTTTCTTGTTATTCCTTTAGCACGCATTTTGTGCGCTTTTACGATATGGTCAAACTTGTCGAAGGCTTTTGCAAAATCTGTGTATATTACATCTGCATTCTTTTTGTTTTCTAGTGCATCTAGGACCTTGTCGTAGTGATCCAGTAGTTCGGACAGACGGGAGCGACTTGCTCTAAACCCATGTTGCCCTGGGTTGTGTAATTGATGGGTATCTAGATGGGTGGCGATCTTTCTTCTTAGGCCCCCTCCCTTTGTGGAGTGGGGCTATATCTGTTGTTTTTAGTAACTGCGGGACGCCCCCAGTCTCCATGCTCCCTCTCCATAGGATGTTAAAAGCATGTGATAGGGGCTTCTTGCAGTTCTTGATGAACACGCAGTTCCATGAGTCTGGCCCTGGGGCAGAATGCATGGACATGTCATTTATCGCCTGTTCGAAGTCATTTGGTGTCAGGATAACATCAGATAGGCTTGTGTTTACCAAATTCTGTGGCTCTCTCATAAAAAAATTCATTTACATCTTCGACTCTCAGTCTGGTCAGCGGCTTGCTAAAAACTGAGTCATATTGGGACTTGAGTAGCTCACTCATTTCCTTGCTGTTTTCTGTGTAGGACTCATCTTGTTTAAGTAGGGGCCCAATACTGGATGTTGTTCTCGACTTTGATTTGGGTTTCTTTCGATTTCGTTTATGGCCTTTAGTTCTTCCCTCGATTCCTGACTCCTATAAGATTCCTTTAGCTTAAGTTCGATGTTTGCTATTTCTCTGATCAGTGTCTCCCTACGCATTGCAGATATATTGGCCTCTTTTAGCCGCTGTTATTCTTTTCCGTCGCCTGTAAAGGAAGCGCCTGTCTCTTTCTATTTTACATCTACTCCTCTTTTTTCTTAAAGAGGAGCATACATCGAGTGCCACAGAGTTAACCTGTTCTAGGCATAAGTTGGGGTCTGTGTTGCTTAGTCTATCTTCCCAGTTTATATCATTTAGGACTTGGTTTACTTGGTCCCACTTTATGTTCTTGTTATTGAAGTTAAATTTGGTGAAGGCTCCCTCGTGACTGGTCCTATTTTGTCAGTCTGGGGTTCCGCGCATACATGTCTGAACCTCGATTATGTTGTGATCCGAGTATACTGTTTTTGATATGGTGACATTTCGTATCAGTTCATCATTGTTAGTGAAGATGAGGTCCAGTGTATTTTCCAATCTAGTAGGCTCTATTATTTGCTGGTTTAAGTTGAATTTTGTGCAGAGATTTAAAAGCTAGTGTGTGTGTGAGTTCTTATCTGAGCTGCCTCCTGGTGTTATCACTGCAACAACATTATTTGCTATATTTCTCCATTTTAGGTGCCTTAAGTTGAAATTCCCCAGGAGCAAGACGTTGGGGGCAGGAGCTGGAAGGTTTTCCAGACAGTGGTCAATTTTCAACAGCTGTTCCTGGAATTGTTGGGACGTTGTATCCGGAAGCTTGTAGACTATCACAATGACTAGATTTTGGTTCTCGATCTTTACTGCTAAAACTTCAACTACATTTGAGGCATTAAGCAGTTCTGTGCAAATAAGTGACTGCGATATACAGGTCAATCCCCTCCCCCTCCTTTTGCCTGTTCACTCTGTCGCATCTGTATAGGTTGTAACCTTGAATCTATATTTCGTTGTCCAAGTGCTCCTTTATGCGGGTCTCTGTGAAAGCCGTGAACATTGCATTTGCCTCTGCAAGCAGTCCACGGATGAAAGGTATTTTGTTGTTCGTTGCTGGCTTTAGACCTTGTATATTTCCAAAGAAGAATGTCATGGATTGGTGGTATTGGTGGTACTGGAGGGGACTTTTTTTCCGGCACTAATATCTGTATCTGTTGGTTTGGAGTGGAGGCCATCGAGTGTGATTCCACTCCATAAATAACTGGATTTGGTGTACGATTTCTGCCATTTCCTGCCAGTTTTTTTTTTCCTTCCTGGCACTAAAAAACCTTTCCCTCTTGAGTGGCTGTGGCTACCCAGGTTTTTCCACGGTCTGGATGTTTTGTATCTTTTTGTCCCCTTTAGATGGTGTGCCTGGCAATATAAGTTATAGCACTGTCTTTCCTGTACTGAAGAGGGACACATTTCAGGGTGAAAAAGCTTACAGGAAGGGAGTTTGCATTTCCCTGTTGTCACATGGGCACGACATTTTCTAGGGTGGTCAAAGTTGCACGTCCCATCTGTTTTTCCAGATATCCCATGTCTGCAGATACCAAGTGCATGATATGTGCACAGGCTTGGTTTCTGTTTGCCTTGGATTTTTGTGGCTGTATTCCCTGTTGGTGCATGTTTTCCTGTCTCATTCCTATCCTCACTAGTACTAACAATGGAGCTCTCACCAGTTGTTTCTGGTAATATATCCTCACTATTACTTGTGGAGTCTCCTTGTTTGCTATCTCCTGTGGTATTACTAGTTTGTAATATTGGTTTTATCTTGTCCTTGACTACACTTGTTTCCCCACTACAGCTCCTGTCTCCCTCGAGGCCACTAATATGCATTTCACCATGCATACAGTTACTGTCTACCAGGACAGCACCTCCAGCCTCACAGTTACTGTCTACCAGGACAGCACCTCCAGCCTCACAGTTACTGTCTACCAGGACCGAACCTCCAGCCTTACAGTTCCTGACTACATGGCCAGCACCTCCAGTCATACAGTTACTGTCAGCCAGGACATTATCTGCACCAAGGGTGATAGCACCATCCAGCCCAGACTTTTTATTTTCCCATCTGTTATAGAATGCTGCTTTGATGTTATCCTCTTTTAATACCAATGTGATTTTAGTCCATAGTACTAGTAGAATTAGTATAAATAGTATTAGCTGTAGTAGTACTAGTAATATTAGTAGTAGTAGTAATAGTAGTAGTAGTAGCAGCAGCAGCAGTAAGAAATGCGGTCGTAACTGTGTTGTTATTCCTTTACAGGAGATTATCTGACTGGAAGTGTTGGTCGAGCGTTCTGTGCCTATGGCAGCAGCCCTGACTTTTGTTGGTGGGGTAACCCAGGCGATACATCAAATGTAAGTTACAACCTGTGTCACACTAGGCCACTACCTGGGTCAATCAAAATCAATTCCTGGGTCACATCAAGACATGCTCTATGTCTCCATATCATGCTCTAGTTCACCAATTAACCAGGTTATGTCTTAAGGCAACAAGCAATGCCATAAGTCATCAGGTTAAGCCTTCAGTCACCGAGTCACACCATGGATCACAAGATTACGCCCTGGGATATCAGCTCATATATTAGAATACTAATTCGCATCCCAGGTCATGCATTAACTTGGCAGGTCACTAGGTCACGCCATAAGTCACCAGTTCGTGCCCTAGAACATCTGGTCATGTGCTAGGTCACGAGATTATGCCTGAGAGAAAGCCGCGATTCTTAGCAGCTAGCAATATTCACAATCCTGCAAACCGCCTCGATGGGATCACAATGTATCCTTGGAAGAATGACAAGCTTTTAGCATGGGACTATACCTGTGTGTTTGTTGAGAGGGTTCATGGAGATATGATGGTTGGAGATAAACACAAGTTGTTGGGTGGTAACACTTATATTAGCAGAGTGTGAGAGGGGAGCCCAGCCTAGCCTGTCCTGTTGCCTTTAGGTCTACGCATGAACTGAGGAAGAGGCAGTGCATCTCACGCTCACATGTGTCATCACGTGACGCCACACATGCTAGCCACTGGGCCTAGCAAAATGGGTCAGCTATGTAAAACATATGGATGGTACTATGATACTCAGATAACATATACATATACAGCAACTATGCTAACAGCTCAGCCATGTTACATATGTCGTCTCGACATACAATTATGCTATAGGCTGAACAGGCAGGTGGCTCTGGGCTGATTCTATACAATAGCAAAGACATATGTAACTTAGAACTAATGGATGATATCGTAATGCATTACAAATTAGAAGAACAAATCATAGTATAATAAAAGATGAATTGATCAATCGATCTGTATTCATGCACTCTACGGATTCTGAGGAAGAATATATATTTACAAAGGTGAAAGTAATTAACAGCAAAGACAGCCTGGTGCGCACAGATCATTACTGCTAAATCTCAGAATTTGGAGGGAACGGGAACACAAAAATATTTCTAACAACTGATCAGCTAATAATAAAACACACAGTTGACACGTTCATTCAACTTGATCATCTAGTTATACAGACTATGTACATTTAAACCCAACTCTACGAGAGTAAAATTTACATATGCAGAATGGTTATCATTTCTGGGAGGATCGAATTCTTTTGCAATGGCTAACACATGCCTTGACTGAGGGAGATCTGAACAAGTATCTACAAAAGGTACTTGGGGGTTTCTCATTACTTGTGTATGCAAGGAATAATAACATTCAGGTTGATCGTCTGGCTGAGTGTTAGAGGTAGAGGGTACAAAGTCAGGAGGATTGTCAGCATCTGTCACACTAGTCTGGGTAGAAATATCATCCTCAACATCGCATACTAACTTTATATGATCTAAATGCAATTCCTTATACTGACCAGTACTAATTTCTCTAACTTTATACTTATTGCCATTGATATGTTCAACTACTCGATAAGGACCAACAAACTTTTGATCGAGCTTAGGCATTGCAGATGTTTTGTTGTAGTCAGTATTACTCTCGAACCCACTTTAACTTTGGTTGGCTTAGCACGGCTATTAGTTACTCTTGTAAATTCTGCTGTTGACTTACGAAGTATCTCACGGATTCTTCTAAAAACACTTTGAGCTAAGCTGGTACGAGTTGCTATGAAATCATCAGGGTTGTAATTGGGTTTCGGTGCAGAATATAACTCATAATACAAACGCTTGTCTACACCATACAATACATAATGTGGAGTGTCACCTACTGAAGCATTGTAAGCAGAATTTATGGCACATTGAACATTAGGTATAACTTCATCTCAGGTTTCACTGTTAGGATTGATAGTGGCTCTCAAGATATCAAGTACTCTCTTATTGGTTAGTTCCACTAACCCATTGCTGGGAGGATGATGAGGAACAATGGTGGATTTAGAGATCTTGTACAAGGTACACAAATTTTCAAGGATCTCATTTCAGAATTCACCTCCATTATCTGTTCCTAGGGACTTAGGGGTGGTATGCCTGCAGATAATGCGTTCTTTAAATGCTTTAGCTACTGTCTCAGCAGTCCTATCTGCAATAGGAACTAACTCACAATATCTTGTGAAATGATCTACCATAACACACAGATGCTTGTTACCTTGGAGGGAACATTGAAAATTGGTTAACAGAATTATGGCAACTCTTTCCCATGGTTCACTCGTGGTGGGATACACCTGGATTGAATTTGGACCATTGACATTTCTTTTCCCCTGTGCTTGCAATGAGTGATAGTAGATCTGTTCTCTCTTGCTCAGATTGCATTATAGTTTGACTTTTCTACCAGGGAGAGTCATCCACTCCACCGAGTTCGTTCATTCCTCCAGTAAGAAAGAACAGATCCCTTGTGGGCTAGTGTGATTCGATTCCTGGTCCAGGAAGATCGTATTCAGACTGTGAAGCCACCAGCATCCATTAGTGACTTTGCAATGAGTCAAGAATTACTGTATCGAACAGCCGAGTTGGGTACTCCTAGCAGAAGGGTATACCAGTTAGTAATTTCACAGTCACTATTGAATGTAGCTCTACAGCTAGTTCACGATGAACCAGGTGTTGCACACCCTGGTATGGATCGTTCTGTGAGACAAGCCAGAATGAAATAATTTTGGCCACGAACCCTCTCACCTACATCCACTACAGCGTTGGGCAACAGGGAGGTGCTTTGGATCACAGAGAGGAGTACAAGATCACCATGAATAGAGAAATAATCATCAGCATCAATTTGTCTCAGTTGGATCGGAGATCCTGGGATCACGGGGAAAGAATGCAACACATTCTTCAAAGAACTGGGACTCATTGACTCTAATAGGGACCCAAGGGCTGAAACTTTAATGTTCCAGCGCCTTAGTGTGGCCATCCAGAAGGGAAATGCTTGCTGCATACCTGGCTCGCATCCAGCTTCAGAGCAGCTGGAGTAGATTCATAATCTTTGATATATTGTACTACTGTATTAATGTTTGTACCATTTAAATAAATAATCCCTCACCTATACATATATATATATATATATATATATATATATATATATATATATATATATATATATATATATATATATATATATATATATATATATATAATGCATGCAATAAGATCACAGTAAACAGGCGATATCAGAATATGCAAACTAACCATTGTGAAAGAATAGTGAGATTCCAAGCACTTTCATGACTTCTCACATTATCAAGGGACTATAAAAACAATACATCAAACAACGCATGTAAAGGGTCGAGACTACACCTCAGCATCACATCCCGCAACAAAGCAGCAACATTTGACGCGCAACGACACCCGACTCATAAGAAAGGAGGAATACTGCAGCAGGCCTGTGGCCCATATTAGGCAGGTCCTTCACGATACTTCCCACTAACAAAATATTTGCCAAAGCATAGTACTCTAACCAAGAATTAAGATTTATTATTTGTTTAATGTATTATTAAATTCTTCCCAAATTTTATTAATTATAAATGAATCATTTGTTTAATGTATTATTAAATTCTTCCCAAAATTTATTAATTATAAATGAATCATTTATAATTAATAAAATTTGGGAATTTAATAATACATTAAACAAATAAATCTTAATTCTTGGTTAGAGTACTAGGGTTGGGCAAATATTTTGTTAGTGGGATGTTTTGCGAAGGACCTACCTAGTGTGGGCCAACTGGACTTCTGCAGTACTCCTCCTTTCTTATGAGTCGGGTGTTGTCACGTGTCAAGTGTTGCTTGTTGCGGGCTGTGACGGTGAGGTGTAGCCCCGACCCTTTATATGCCTTCCTTTGATGTACTATCTTTATAGTTCCTTGATAATGTGAGAAGTCAGGAAAGTGCTTGGAATTTCACTATTCTTTCCCAGTGGTTATTATGCATATATCTGCATATACAGGGTGGTAGGACAAGACTAGTGCTTAGGTAGATTCTAGAAAGGGTCTCTAGACCCTTCCTAGATTTACTTCTCCGAGGCCAAGGTACTCCATACTCCATATATACAGTGCTAGTCACGACATTATGCCGGGTGAGCGCCCCGGCATAATGGCGTGACGAAAATCAAAGGCCTACCAAATAGGGGTCTCTTTTCGTCAGTGCATTATGCCGGGTAGCAGCCGTTAGCATGACGTCATGGCCTGCCACAACTCTCCACAATGTGCTCGCGTGGCTTCTGTGGCGAGAGGAAGTGTTGCACTTTATCTCACCTCTGCCTCATCTTTTATCTTGTGTTCCCTTGGGTTTTGGGGGCTATACATGTTTGATTATGGGTAAAAGGAAGTCTTTAACACCTGAAACTATAGCTCAAATCATAGGGCTTCACAAAGCTGGGCACCAGACGAAAGAAACAATGGAGAGATTGTTGGTGTGTGTGAGCGTTCAGTGAGGAACTGGGTGCAGCATTTCAAGGCTGGTGGCGGTGTCCATTAACCGTCTGCCAAACCTCGGCAGGGCCCCTCGAAGAAGACATCTGTTCATCTGTTTCCACCTTAACTGTGTTAAAGAAATGAAAGAAAAGATAACTGAAAGAAAAGAACCCACATCTTCTCTCAGAGGTGTCTGTAAGAACTGTTAACAGACGTGTGTCAGAACTGAGCTATAGTAGTCAATGCCAGGTTAAGAAACCGCTCCTCTCTAAGCCACAGAAGAAACGTAGGATGGATTATGCAAAGAAATATTTTCACTGGAATCCTCAATAGTAGTCTGAAGTACTTTGGAGTGATAAAGCAACCATCACCGTCACCTGTAACCTTGAGGGACATGTGTACTGGCCCAGAGGTAGAGACCCGCTAGACCCTAGCTACACCTGTGAGACCACCAAACACCCAGACTCGCTCATGGTTTGGGGGTGTTTCAGTGCTCAGAGTGTTGGTGATCTCACGGTGCTTCCCAAAAAACAGTGTATGAACTGGTATAATTACCTGGAGTTATTGTGTGACAATTTACCTAAGGCATTTGACAAGTGTGGGGCTACAGTTTCTATGCAGGACGGTGCACCGTGCCATACCGCCTAATCTGTAGTTCAGTGGTTTAATTAAGGACTGTGAAGTGAGGTTCTTTAATGACTGGCCAGGCAATTTCCCAGACCTAAACCTTATTGAGAACCTCTGGTCAGTAGTGAAACAAAGTTTATTGGGCAAGGGTATCAGTTCCATCCCTGAGCTGGAGGCTGCTCTACATGAGGCATGGAATAATATACCTCTCCAAACCCTCAAGAATTTGTGTGAGTCTTCCTACATGGCTGCAGGGTGTGATTAAGCGTCAATGACGCAGCACTAAGTATTAAAACCTCAGTATTAAAACCGACATGTGTTCGAGTCCTCGGCTAATCACAGTGTTGTTATATATATATATATATATATATATATATATATATATATATATATATATATATATATATATATATATATATATATATATATATATATATATATTATATATATGAAATCACGAAACAAGTGATTTTAATTCATTTACCAAAGTGCGGCAGGCCAGGACTCGACCCTGCGAACGTTGTACCGCCTCAAGAGACAACACAACATACGTATCACCTTTACCACACAGCCATAGCGTCCGTAGTGCACAGTCCTGGCCAGCAGCAGTTTGGTAAATGAATTAAAATAAATAGTTTCGTGATTTCGTTGTATATGTATACATTATATATATATATATATATTATATAATATATATATATATATATATATATATATATATATATATATAAAATATAATATATATATATATATAGATGCACTTGTTATAATAAGATTAGATAAGTTTTCTAAGATTCTTTTGGTGCAAAATTAAAATATTTTACATTAACATTAATGAAAAAATATATCTTTAAACGTATAAGAGAAAATTTTAGAAAGGACTTAATTTTAAATGAGTTCTTGCTAATTGCCCAGTTTTACATATTCGGCATGACATATATATATATATATATATATATATATATATATATATATATATATTATATATATATATATAATATATATATATATATATTATATATGTGTGTGTGTGTTTGTATTCCTAAAAATACGTTTATTGTTAGAATTGTAGTTAAAGAATCAAAGCCTTAATGACCCTTGTGTAGTCAATAATCTTAAACCCTAATAAATCAACCAACAACACCATATGCATATTGTCAATAAAAATAAATTAACTTACATTTTCCTGATTGTTTCTCTGGCAGAACTTGTTGACGGGTGATAGACCTCAATGGGGAAATAGTGACCTCACGTCCGTGATGGTTTGGGTCCGGTCCCAGACGTGCGACGATGGTAGGGTATATTACGCAGTGTGTTGTAGAGAATATGTTACCGGATTTTCTTCTTTGTGTGTGTGTGTGTGTGTGTGTGTGTGTGTGTGTGTGTGTGTGTGTGTGTGTGTGTGTGTGTGTGTGTGTGTGTGTGTGTGTAATTACCTATATGCAGTTACCTGTTTGCAGGTACAGAAGAAGACCTATGCTGTTGGAGTCCCATCTGCAGTACTCTCTTCATTTTATAATTATTTTAAAATTTCATTCGTTGCAACACTTCCTAATTCCTTCTTCAGTGCATTCCACTGAGCAACCACTCTATTTGAGAATAAAAAATTTCTACTATACTTTCCACTCCACTTTTTCGTTAATTTGTAGCTGTGATTTGTCGTTATCCTTGTTGCAGGACTAGAGGATTTTTTTCCTACTTTATCAAATACCTTCAGAATTATATATATATGTTTAGCGTAATTCTTCTGAAAGCCATGTATGGATCCTGCCTCCATTACTTCACTCTCCAGATTGCTCCATTTCCTGACAACTCTAAGTATAAAAAAATACTTCATAACATTCCTTTGACTCATCTGAGCTTTTAACATCCAGTTGTGCCGCCTTGTTCCTGTGTCTCATCTGTGAAACATTCTGGCTCTGTCTACCTTGTCAATTCCTTTCAGTATTTTATACATCGTTATCATGTTCTCCCAATCCCTCCTGTCCTCCAGTGTGGTCAGGTTGTTCCCTTAACTTCACCTCGTAGGACATATCCCTTAGCTCTGGGGCTGGTCTTGTTGCAAACTTTTTATTATGCTGCCTAAGGATGTGGAAGGCAGGGTTGGATATTATGGGAGCCTGCTGGGTTGGTGGTAGTGCTGGTGGGCTATTGTGTTTGGCATGAGGTGGCATGGTTGAGAGGATTCTTTGTGTAGTTCTGTGGATGGTTGTTTCCCGTTCCTTCCTCTGGCAACTTCTTATTTTCTCAGTTGTTATTGTTCTTTTTGTGTTCTGTCGTGGTTGAAGTATACTCCCTGATATTTTTGGTAGCCCTTTAACAGTGGTTTCTGCTACAGGATCTTGTTTCATACGATTTCTGTCTTGAATATTAATTTGACTGGGTGTTTCTTTTCTATCATATACCTCCTATAGTCTCTGAAAATTTGACAACCGGGTTGTGTTCTCTCCTGTTATCATGATGATACTCTCAATCTCTTTTACTCCCTCCCCCTGTCTTCTTTCATTGTAGGTCCTCCCTTTCACCTCACGAAGTCTGAATGACAAGCGACCTCTCCCTCTCTTCCTATTTCCTTTCCCTCTAAATCTCTGGACCCGATTTAAGCATCTCTTTTGTTCCTTTATCGTCTCCCAGACATCCAGATGGCTTAATATCATATCTGCAAGAGACTTCTTAGCTAGTACTCCTCGTTCAGTCACCTCACTGTCTGCTAATGTTCCTGTTCCTAGAACCTGGCTCCTATCAGTTCTCATCACTATCCTGCTCCAGTATTTCCAGTTCCTCTGTCAGGGTTTGCATGTTTGCATGTTTGCATCACCAGCTACAGCTCGTGGCTCCCACTTCTTTCTCTATGTAGATATCTTCACTACTGTGTTGCAAAAACATTTTCAGACTTTTTTCGCACTCTAGTTCCATTGTGTACTTGAGCCTTTCAGTTTATGTTTCCTTCATAGATTAACCATCCCTGTTTTCGTTATCTTTATGGGTTGCCTTTTGGGATGCCTTTATTTTTAAGTGTGTGTGTGTGTGTGTACTCACCTTGTTCTCACATAACTGTAATTGCAAAGGTCTAGTCATTGCTCCTGGCCCCGCCTCTTTTTATTACCAGTTTGTTGGGTGATGTCTTGGTAGCGGGAAGTAAATGATAGGTCTTCAAAGGCTTCTTACTTTATTTGCAAAGTCGTGGTGGGTACACAGGCTTGTGTGTTTGTGACCATGGCCCGGGAGGGCCATGGCCGTGAGGGAGAGAGGAGTGGCACTTTTTGACTGAGTGAAAGGTGTCGCCAGAGTGAGGGAATGACCGATAGCCAATCCGTGGAGATGAGCACTTGTACCTCTCGAGTAGTAGGCCGTGAAGTGAGAGCGAGTAAGCCCAGCATCCCACAGACCTGGGTAGGCCTAGAGAGGGCAGCACCGGAGTGCTGCGGAATATGAAACTAGAAGACAGAAATGGCTGTCTACATTTTGTGTGTATGGGTTCACCTATGTATTGTTGCAAGGGTCGAATCTTAGCTCCTGGTCCTCGATTCTCAACTCTTGTGTGTATGTGTGTACTCCCCTAGTTTGAGGTTTGCGGGGGTCGTCTAGCTCCTGGGCTCGTGTCCTAGCTCGCAGCTAACTGTGTGTGTGCGTACTCACCTAGTTGTACTTCACCTAGTTGAGGTTGCGGAGGGTCGAGTCGAGGCTCTGGCCCCGCCTCTCCTGGCATGATCGCTATAGGTCACTATCCCTGAGCCTTGATCTTTATAGACCTCTGCTTAAGTATGTATGGATCCTGCCTCCACTACATCGCTTCCCAAACTATTCCCTTTCTGACTACTCTATGCTGAAGGAATACTCCCAAACTTCCCTGTGATTTCCTCTGTGTCGTCAGCTTCCAACTGTGTACCCTTGTTACTGTGTCCAATCTCTCGGAATTTCATGTCTTTGTCTTACCTGTCAATTTCCTCTCAGTATTTTGTATGTCGTTATTCATGTCCCCCCTATCTCTCCTGTCCTCCAGGGTCGTCAGGTGGATTTCCTTAACTCTCCTTCGTAGGAATTACCTCTTAGTCTGGGGACTAGTCTTGTTGCATAACCTTTGCAACTTTCTCTAGTTTCGTACGTGCTGGTAGTGTGGGTTCCAAACTGTGCCGATGCTCCAATATGGGCCTAAGGTACACGGTGTAAAGGGTACTGAATGATTCCTTTTAAGATGGGAATGCTGTTCTGAGGTTTGTAGGGCGCCCAATATGCTGCAGCAGTTATTTGGTTGATGTGCGCTTCAGGGAGATGTGCTGGTGTATACTCACCCCAGTTCTTTTCCTTGAGTGAGGTTTGTAGTCTTGGCCCCCTTGATGTACTCCGTCTGCGGGTCTTCTTTGCCCTTCCCAATCTTCTGACTTTGCACTTGGTGGGATTGAACTCCAGGAGCCAATTGCTGGACCAGGGTCTGCAGCCTGTCCAGATTCCCTTTGTAGTTCTGCCTGGTCTTCGATCGAGTGAATTCTTCTCATCACTTCACGTCATCTGCAAACAGGGACACCTCAGAGTCGATTCCTTCCGTCATGTCGTTCACATTACCAGAAAACAGCTTGGTCCTAGGACTGACCCCTGTGGGACCCCGCTGAGTCACAGGTGCCCCACTCGACATCGCCACGTTCCTGATCGTGCTGTCTTCCTGACAAGTATTTCACTGATCCATTGTAGTGCCTTTCCCTGTTATCCCTGCTTGGTCTCTCCAGTTTTTGCACAAATCTCTTGTGTGGAACTGTGTCAAACGCCTTCTTTGCAGTCAAGAAAATGCTACAATCCGCCCACCCCTCTCTCTCTTGTCTTACTGCTGTCACCATGTCATAGAAACTCCCGTCGGTTTTGTGACACCTGGATTTCCAGTCCTGAAACCATGTTGGCTGCCTGGTTGATGAGATCGTTGCTTTCTAGGTGTTCCACCACTCTTCTCCTGATAATCTTTCTCCATGATTTTGCATAATATACTGGCAGTGACACTGGTCTGTAGTTTAATGCTTCATGTCTGTCTCCTTTTTTAAAGATTGGGGGACTACATTTGCTTGTCTACCATGCCTCAGGAATCTCCCTGTTTCGATTGATGTGTTGAATATGTTGTTAGGGGTACACATAGCGCCTCTGCTCCTCTATCAATACCATTGGGGAGATGTTATCTGGCCCCTTTGCCTTTGAGGTATCTGGCTCACTCAGAAGCCTCTTCACTTCTTCCTCGGGTGTGTGCACTGTGTCCAGACATGGTGATGTGCCCCCACCTCTCCGTCTTTTCTGGAGCCCTTCTGTTCCTCTGTGAACACTTCTTTGATTCGCTGTTGAGTTCTCACTTTACTTCAACGTGTTCATTTCTTGTTGTCTCTCCTCCTTCCTTCCTTAGCTGATTACATGGTATTGGACTGTTGTATTTCCTCCTGAGGTGGCTGTACTACAGTTGAGGTCAGATTTGGCTTTCGCTGTATGTCCTTTTCATATTGGTTTTGGGCCTCCCTTCTTTATCTGTGCATATTCGTTTCTGGCTCAACGACTGCTACTCCTTATTCTCCTGGGTCCTTTGCCTTCTTTATTTCTTCCATTCACTAGCACACTTGTTTTTTGCTCCCGTATTCCTGTGGGTAAAACCATGGGCTATCTGGCTTGTTTAATATTCTCCTGTTACCTTGGTACAAACCTCTCCTCAGCCTCCTGATTTTTGTTGCTACATATTTCCTCATTCTCTTTAACTGGTCCCTGAGTTCTCTGTCCCACTGAACCCCGTTTCAGGAAGTTTCCTCATTCCCTATGTAGTCCTTTCTGTAGTTTGGTTATTCGTCCTGCCTTCCTGCTGTCCCTTCCACTTGTAGCTTACTGAGTATCGAAGTTAAAACCACATGGTCACTGGCCCCAAGGGGTCTTTCATATGTGATGTCCCTCGATATCTGCACTACTTCAAGCGTGAATACTAAGTCAGCCTTGCTGGTTCATTCCTCTCCTCTCTCTCTTGTAGGTCCTTAGTGTTGGCACATGAAGTTTTCCAGTACACCTTCCATCATTCTTAGCTCCTGATCTTGGCCCAATGTGGGTCCAAGTTCTCTCAATCGATCTCCTTGTGGTTAAAGTCACCCATGATCAGGAGCTTTGCCTGCAATGCATGAGCTCTTCTGGGCCTCTATAGCCAGAGGTTGTCTACCATCGCTCTATTGCTCTCGTCGTTACTCTTGCCTTTTGGCCTCCTGCTGTTCTGCGGTGGGTTATACATCATGCTATTACCACCTTGGGACCTCCAGAGTGAAGCGTGCCGCTATGTAATCACT